CTGGAGAGAGCATATGTTTAAAAAGCAGGAAATAAAATAAGGAACTCACCTTGTGATAAACCCACAGGAGAAAAAGCATTTGAGCTCCATACTGTTTCAGAAATAATCTTTGATGTGGTTTTGAACAGGATGGCGTTTTATCACAGCAGAATTGAACTTTATCTCCGGTAGAATTCTGATCAGGCATTAGCTCCGCCTCCTCTTTTTTCTCTAACAGGGCTGCAAAAGAGGGGTATGAGCAGTATGAGGCATGGCTACAATGGGTGATCTGTTTGGTATTTTAAGCAAAAAACTTCACAGACATGTTTTGTATAGGTATGGCCCTACAATATATTTTTCCAATATAGCATAATAGGTCCACTTTAACTGTTTTATTGTGTTGCACTGTTGGAGGAGCCTGATACCTAAGATGTTCATTGTCATAACTACACTGTAGCTATGTACACATGACAATAAAAGCCTTGAATCTTGAAACTACATACCATGTAACTGCGAAATTCCAACATTTTAATAAAGTTAGCCATCAAGGCTTCATCCTCTTAAAACACGGCATAACTGGAACATATATACCTGCTTTCGACTATCCCAAAATCTATAATGTCCCAATTTGGGATCAATAAAGTACCTCTTATCCCCTTTATATTAAGGAAGCACATTTATCTTCACGTAATGTGGCATCAAAATATGCATCACCATCATCAACACAACCCTCCCTACCCTTCACTCCTTTTGTTTATTTCTCTCTCGACCCCTTCCTTTCTGTTCACACCTTCTCTCTGTCCTACTGGTCTGGGAATTGACTCACAGAGGCATGCTGGGATATGCTGAAGGGTTGGAGTAAGGAGAGGAGAGAGAGCAGAGTGTTGGTATTTGTTCCCCCAGACAGAGCGCCTGTGTCCTGGGATGAGCAGATGGTGGATCTGGCTGGCACTCGGGTGGTACGGGCACATCCGCAGGAAGGCACGAACACCCCAACCCCCCCCCTGTCTCATCTCTCCCTTCTTTCTCTCTGAATTCCTCCCTCTCACTCTCTCTCCCTCTGCTCACTCAGCACATCGACAGTGTTAATCAGCACAACTTGTCCTCAGCTCCCAGCATGCAGGGGAAGCAACAATATGGGTCTAGTGAGGGGCGGGGGTTCAAGGGGTGTGGATGAAGTGCACAATCAAGGAAACAAGCATCCCATTCTGCCACTGTGAAATCCTGACCTTATGTAAATAAGAGTTAATCAAAATGACTGACAAAATAACAGACTTAGGGGCCTGAGTGTTTTTGTCACACTGACTAACAGCGGCTTAATTATTCTCAGCTGAGAAACAAATGACAAAGCCTTCAAACTAATCTACGGACGTGTGAGTGTGTGTGATTGTTCCAGTCTTCACTGTGCTTCTCTTTGCTGATCTTACCACAGCGGCTCTCACAGGCTTTTCTCTCATGCACACTGAGTGGAGATTATAATAACAATAACAGCATAATGAGACATCTAGATTATGACTGTGAGTGCCAGGCTCTTTGCAGGGATTTTCTATTATTTAGTTTTCCCTGAGAGTCATGGGGCTTGTGTCCCTGGGAATTCTCTGCTAACCAACTCTTGCATGGCAGTGCATAAAACCAACAAGGCAAATCCCATTGTAAAGAAGCATGGACAGATTTCTGAGAATATGGGAATAGATAAAATAGTGGGGATATAATACATTTAATAATAAAAATGTCATTTGTACTAGCTATCTTTATTTACTTAAGTAAAAACAAGACGTACTTGCTACTTTATAGATTTAGTATACTACATTCCACGTTTTCCTCCCCAACATTTCGTTGACGGCTAAAGTTACTTAACAGATAATAATTTGTCATAACCTTCTAGTCAGGTGAAGGTCCATGTATCTCCATATTTGCTGTTTTCGACTTTTTTTAATGAACTGTAGAAAAACTTTATGGGTTGAGAAGTTTCTTCTGGCTTTTAGGCAAATAAACCCTTTTAAGACTGAAAATAGAATATAGAAAATTGTCACAACAACTGAATAAAGGGCTGTTTTTCTGAGGCCAGGTAAATGTGTCTTTTTAAAGATACGTGGTTCTCGAATAACAGTTCTGAGTGCAGACATGTTACTTGAAGAGGAATATTTTCAGTATGGTCTGAGTACTGTGCTAAAACATACCTTTCTGTCAGTGCCACTGGTAATGAGCTGGTATTCCTCTGGGTGGTAACACATTGTCCGGAACATTGTGCTGGCAATAACCCTCTGAAGACTCGCGAACCGCCTACAGCAGGATATGCAGAAGATGAAAATAAAAAGAGGAGAGAGAAGTCAGTGTGTTGAAACGGTCTAGAAAATGTGGTTAAAAATGTCCCTCACGTCATCAACTACTAAACACATTTTAATGTATTTTTTTGTTCAAACTTGAGTTTTTATTGAGTTAAGTTTATACATAATGGAGAGACAAAACAGAAAAATCACATTGTACTTATGGCTTTTCTTGGCTTATAACAATGATAGTAAACACAAGTACAAGATCATAAATAAAATACAATGAAATAAATCAAATAAACAGTATATATAACAGTATAAATTCACATTTAAAATAAATTCTTCCGAGCACAAACCATGCAAATGAAGCGTGTACCACCCACACAACTTGCCCACACTCTTCTCTTGTCCAATCTTGTCTGACTAATATTAATTTAGTTTGTTAGTAATCATGGGAAAGGCATACTTTTTCGAAGCCTTTACTCCACAGACTTGTTCATTGAAGAGGATAGACAGTGAATAAAACATGACCACCATCAGAGTTTAAGTTAAAGCTTTTATTCTCCACACAGAGAAGCCCCGCAGATTAAAGGATTTGAAGATGTCTTAATAAAGAATGCCCTGGGTTTCTTTTTATTCCTAACGTTCCAGCCAGACACAGACGACCAGCTTCAGCCGTTCACTCTCATTACAACACAAATATAAAAAGCAGCACTCTCTATTTTCTGTCATTTGCTTTCTCTTGTGGTGGCTATGTACTGTAGATCATAACCATTTTCTTTTATACTAGATACTTTGATTCGTTGTTTAAATAAGGCACCTTTATACTTGTTTTTTGTTGTTCTCTGCAAAATACACCTTTTATTAGTCCATTTATTGAACATGTCAGAAACATTTTTTTTTTTTTATATATATATTATAATAATTATAATTATAACAAAGAGATGCAAAACAAAACAAAAAAGCAAAACGTTCAAGGTACAAAAAAATAAAACAAAATACATTCTCAAATAGTCTCTGTCAAGTTCAACAGGGGCAAGAAGAAGCTTAAAAATACTTTTCTGGTCCTACCCCCTCTAGCGTACATTTTTCTTGAAAATAATAGATTAGGTCATCGTCATCAGTGTCATGTTCGTCATGTTGTAAACAAATACAAATGTTTGTACAAAACAACCAAAAAAGAAATAACTTTTACAATGACAAGAAATAACAAGTGTGAGTTTACAGGTTCACAGGTCCTCCATTTTAGGAGAAAACTAAACTAGGATTAATTCACTTTAAGGTTTTAGGGTAAAATTAAGAATGAATTGAATAGAATGTTGACTCAGTGGGGCTGTTTTGCTGCTGTGTACTGCATTTCATACTACTACTAAAGGCAAATGTGAGTATGTTATGCACTATGCACAAACAAAGGTTTAAAGATGAAACATCCTGTATATGTAAGGCGTGTTGTTGTTGCCTTTGGTTCAGAAACAAGTGTGTGGGTATGCAGATGGGCTACTCACACTAAGTCCCAGATGATGCAGGCCCCATCAGAGCTGGCAGTCACACACTCTTTGTCGTCACTTTTGATTTTGATACAAGTGACGGTGGCTTTGTGCTCTTTCATGGTCTCCAGCAGCCGATGGCCGGATGGCTGCAGCTCCCAGACACGGACCTACAACAGGTGAACCAAAACTCGTCAAATCTCTCAGGAAATCTCTAATACATCAGATGTTACACCTAAGTGAAAATATCCTCTCTGTTTAAATGATTTCTAATGCAATTGTAGAACAAATATAAAAAACATAGAGCAAAAAAAAACATAATCCGTCAAACTGCAATCAGTACGATTGCAGTTTGACGGATTATGTTTTTTTTTGCTCTATGTTTTTTATATTTGTACAGTACGTACGCCGGAGCGGCCAAACACATAACATATTGAGTATGTATTTGCAGGGTATGTTTAGCATAGTTTTGGATCTTAGTCATAGATGTATAATGGATTATTTGGATTATTATTTGCATGCAAGCATCTTAACTGAAATGATCCTTAATAATTCACAGCTTCACATTTTCATAGAAGTTACTTAATTAAATGTTATGGCTTCTTCCATGATTCATTTTTCACCCACCATAAATAACAGAAATGCACAAACAGCTCCTCTACATAAATCTAGACATAACTCTGGCAGGAACATGTCTTCCTCTACTACCAAAAACTAAGCTGTATAATCATGACTTATTTAAGCAAATGGCTTCTAAATAAAAAAACGCTTGTCCAGAATCAGTGTGTTGTGCAACCAACTGTTTCTGCATTTACTACACATGGTGTCTGCGACAGAAGATTCACCTCAAGGGAATTAGTTGGCACTGCAATTGTAAAACGTTATATAATCATTCTTATCATGCAATCGGGCTTTTGGAGAATGTCAATGGGGTGCTTTGTGTTGTCATTTGGTGAAAACACAAAAGGTTGCACATTTATCATGTGTAGGTTTGTCCCCGTCCTGTCTACTGACCTGCCCCGATCCCCCCCCACTGACGATCCTCTTGCAGTCCTTGGTGCCAGCAATTGCTGTCACCCCCATTCTGTGTGCGTTGTCAATGGTGAGCATGACCCGGCCACTTTCTGGCGCAAACACACGAATCTTGCCATCGTTCCATGCTTAAAGAGAGAGAAAACCATGTTTAATTTAACAAGAACAATCACTTGATTCGATGTGTAAACTATCTAACTTGGGAACAAGTGTTACAGGTGTTGGGGAACGAGTCATCATGACTGATCCACATCTTATGACTACACTACACCTCAAAAAATGGAAAAAGATATACGATGTCTTGACATCTAATGTCTTGTTAGCAGATCTTTCTGCATGATACCAACCACTGATGATGCTGTGTCCGTCAGCCATGAAGTCCAGAGAGTTGCAGGTCATGTTGGGCACAGTGATGCGCAGCAGCTCTTTGGGCTTGTTTATGTGCCACAGCCTGATGTCCTCCTCAGAGCAGGTTCCAAACAGTTCAGATGTTCCACTAACATATACAAAAGAGAGAGAGGAAGAGATTTGGATTTATAGTTAAGTGAACATGGGCATGACCTGTCTGTTGTAACATAGTGCTTATTGAATTAAAGGCATTTATGATAGGATTAACCATGCATCCATTGATAAATTAATTCATGTATAAATTCAATACATTACCCAAGTCTTTATACAATATGACCAAAACGAAAACTGTTCAAACTGGACATGGATAAGGCAAGCATATGTCACCCTCTAGTGAGCACAATGGGGTACTGAAGTCATGCATTGTGAATGATTCATTGGGTTTGCCCAAAAAAAGACATACTGCCATTAACTATAACGGTTTGGGAAGGAAGCTAAAGCATTGAATGAAGAACTGAACAGACAGCTGGCCGAAGACGTTTCTTTCAGGTTTATCGGAAAAAAACGGAATATTATTCTCCCAAATGTCATAAACTTGAGTGATTTTAAACAGCGCATCATGAATACTTTGGTGAAAAAAAGTTTATACTGCACCCTCGAGGGAAGGGGATAATGGTATAGCATAATGGTGTTCCTCAATTAATATTTCATGCCAAATTTAACATCTGTAAAAGGCCTTTTGCCATTCTCTCTTGTTGAACTTTGAATGCTTCTCTCCGTGAATGGTGTCTGGGCCACTTACAAACATATGGCTACGTCCTTGACAGCACTGTTGTGGCCTGTGGAAATGAGCTCAGCTTTGAATTCATCATAACTGAAGCGGAACATTTGAGCAGCGCTGGTTCCAACAAAGAACTGCTGGCCCTCTCCTCTCATAGCGATGGAGGTCACCGCCTTATCCAGCTCTACTTTCCTGATGTGGGAAAAAAATGAACACTGTTTGCATTAAAGAAGTAGCCCTGGTAATTAATCTAATTTATAAAACGGACAAGTCAAATCAAGCAATCTGATTAGTTCTTAGCCGTGATATACTGAGCGTATACCACGGGTAGAATTGTAAGTTACTTTTCACAACAAGTCAGTATCCCTCCGCGTCTGAGAAAAACTGTATACAGTTGGGCTGAAAAGCAAACTGCCTGTGATATAATGAGCATATACCACGGCCTGTCGTGAGCTATTGCTTAAATATAAGATACAGCTGTGAACCTCACACGACACGATGTATTACATGTGGATGATTAAGAGATACAGTTGTTGGACTCACTTGAGAGTTTTGAAGTTAGTGCTGGAACAGAGAGTGAATGTGCCGGTTCCAGAGCCTACAAGAAGGTCCGCAGACTTCAGCACCCTGAGGACATTGACACCCTGCGCAGAGAATACAGAGCACTGAGATAGAAAGACCTGGGGAGTTTTTATTACATATTAAAGCGCTGCCCAAATGAGTTCCAAGTAATAAAAGCTAAAAGCTAAAACACTTTTGGATACCCGCAATCAAGACTAAGTTCAAGAATGAGAGGGAAGTACATAACAATCCATTAAGCCTTATGTTGTGTTCGGGTCTCCCGTGACCCGTTTCAAGTTAAAATGATATAATAACTACGCTCAAGTTTTTTTTATCGGAACAAGGCTTCATGATATCCTCCACAGCAGCTATATAAACACTACAAAACAGATTTTGACCATTTCAGCCAAGTCTGAAGGTCTCTAAAAATAAAAGTGTATAATTTGGTGTTCGGGTCTGGGGAGACCCAGCAGCATTGTTGTGGGTGACTCGAGGTCAAATTTGGCCCAATCAAGATTAATCTTTGACTTTAGACACCCCACCCCCACCCTCTTCATACACTGTAACAATAATTTTTCGCAACATGCACATGGTCTCCCCGCCCTCTGCCCCCCTCCCCCCACAGGAACTCGACCTTTCTCAAAGAATATGTACACTAACACTTGAACCTGAACACACACATGCACGTGTGCAATATGTGGTGTAATGTGTTTTGTTACAATGTAATGTGTTTTGTTACAATGTAATGTGTTTTGGGGCCATAAAATAAAGTTACAACAGGATTGTACGGTTATGAATGCATAATAAGTTAGTTATGATGTAGTTAAAACAATATTGGATGATAGTCATTTTTTTAATGTGTTTTGGACTGAGATAAATCATGGGTCAAGATTGACCCGCGAACACCATGAACGGTAACAGCTTTTGAACACAACACAAGGGTTAAAGACAGAAAATAAATTGGTCATAGATTAAATGAAACACATGAAATGAGCTTAGATTTCCAAAATAGAAGGCCATCAGGATTACAGTTCAATCAGCTCTGTATACGCAGCAGAAGCCCTCACTGTTAGGCAAAGCGTGTGTTAGCAACAACTGATATCACCTTCACATAATGACTCTATTTACGCGAACCTACCCCGCTGTATTTCGTTTTAGCTGGACCACATCCACTCAGAAGTCCTGTCTTCAGGCTGACTTTCATTATGTCTCCACTGGTGGTGCCACAGAAAATGTATTTATCATCCTCGGAGATCTGTGTCAAGACATAAACAACTCAACATTAACATGATCCAATATCAGTGTATCTGAATATGAATGGTAATATCACATTAAATTGCCAGACATGGTAAAAGATTGTTAGCTGTGTATATTACCTAAAACATCTACTGCAAATGTGCCCCTACTCATTTAGTTACTTGTGGCAAAAGCAAATTTAGATTGACTTCAAAATGGCATAAATAAGCTGGACAAACTGATGTGAATGAAAGACTCCCGAGGCCTCATACCTCTATACATTTCACAATCCTCTTCAGCTTGCCTGTCTGACACTCTGTGGGTCTGATCTTCCTGTTGGGGAGGTCCAGCTCCCAGACTCGCAATGTACCACTGCTCAAAAAAAGAACAATGAAAATAAAATACTTTACGAGAACAGTAGGAGTACATGCTGATACCTGGTTTACAGAATGTTAGTAGCCAGCATCACTCACCTCCCAGCAGAAACAAAAATATTGTCATTGGTGTTAGAGTACTGCACAGTGAGGCAGTGCCCGGCGCTCTGCGCTGAGGCTGGACTCCCACAGACAGCCTTCTTGGTCTCAATATTCCATACTATTATACTGAAAATACACCAACATTTTAGTTTATTGACACAATAAACAAAAAGAGGATATGTACTATTGAGTGAATTTACATATACTACTGAAGGAAATTATATTCTATTACATTTTCTTCTTTAACTGCAGAACTTGATTTGCAGGAAAGTACTGATGACTTATGAAGTGTAAAATAAAAAAATGTGATATTGCGCCCAGAACAGTGTCTCAATTTACATTAAGATGGTCTCTGCAGTAAGGTCTGTTTTGAATTTCATACGGCAAAATGTTGTATGATTGAGAAAGGTCAATAAATAAAATGTTTTTGCATGACAATGACATTGTGTTTAGGTTCTGTAATAACATTTCAATCTAGTAAGTGGCCGATTATATCAGGAGATTTTGAAACTACGTATCTGCTTTTCAGCTGATCATGTGTCTCTTTTCTTTATCTGGTTATTTGGGGAAAGCATAATGTATTCGGACCTGTACCACCCACACTTAATATTTACCTGCCATCGTCCTGACCTCCGAGGGACACCAGGTACTTGTCGTTGGGAGAGAATGCCAGTGCCTCTACTTTAGCCTGGTGGAGCAACACCTGGGCATATATTGTTCGTTTGGCATAGTCCCAGATGATAACCGTAGCCTAGGATATTTATTAAAATGCTACATGTGAAAATGACACGTTTATTTTGCCATTTTGCTTACTATAAATAGATTCAAGACCATATATTTCTGAAGCAAAAAAACAGTCTGCTTACTTATGCACATAAAACATTGTGTTAACCAAATCAGAAACTATGAAATATAATAATAATAATAATAATACATTTTATTTGTATAGCACCTTTCATGCACAAAGCAGCCCAAAGTGCTTTACAGAAAACATTCCCTTGAATTAAAGCTGACAATACATTAAAATAGGTTAAAATAAAACAATTTTAAAAAGAAAATTAAAAATGCTAAATAAAAGCAAAACATGTCAAATATGGACAATGATACTAGTGAGAATTGAAAGTTAACAACAATTAAAAGCCATATTAAAAAGATAGGTTTTTAATTTGCTTTTAAACATTTCAAGGATCTAACAACTGCACCTACCTTAAAGCCCATGAAGTTGACCTGTCCAGAGGCAATGTACACTCCACCTTTGGACACTGAAATACAGGACACATTGTTGGTGTGTCCATGCAGGAACTCCTGCTTGCCATCTTTGATTCTCTTCAGGATGACAGCGCTGCCAAGAGGATAGATCAGGTACTCTCTGTCGGGATGGACTCTCAAGCCAGAAATCACATGACCTTATGGGACAAAATGTAGCATAACATAATAATAAAGATATAACGTGTTTTAAAATCAAAAAGGGCAAAGACAAACTTTTTGTGATCATTATGGCTGTCTCTTGTTTTCAAAGGTAACGTTAATTAAGCAGACAGCCATGACAACGTGCAATACTTCCCAGTTAAACCGGCCAAATACATCGTAGAATCTAAAAAATAACTGTATCCTGACACTTTCTTATATTTTACTTTTATGAACATGGTAATCATTTGCATTTAAAATATCACACATTTTACAGTTAAACTTCTAACATTATGCATACTAACTGAAAAGCAAACCCCCAGGTGTTTAATGTGCGCACATTAGCGTGCTAGCTTGTTGTATTCCTTAACGTTTGATTTGTATTAACGCTATATTAGTTAAAACCGAAGTGTGCAGAACTTACCGCTGAACCCAATTACAGACTCCAGTTCAAGCTGCGGCACACCCTGTGTTTCAGAAGTATTTGTCATCTCTTTTTACTGTAAATTGTAAACGTATGTCTACTTTTATCGAACAAATTGTGTGTCAACTAATGTTACACCAAACAAACGTTACCTAGCAACCGCTGGGATTCTGTTGGACACTCTCATTGGTCGACGAAACTTCCTCGTTGCCTTCACGTCCTCTCGGAAATGTCAGAACTTAAAAGGCGTACATACAAACCTGAGGGTACATAGGTGTTTGTACCCTTTTGTAGACAAGCATGTAATAGCATGTTTCTGTGTAGCGTTAAAAGTACTGCAAAGGTTTAACTATTGAAAATATATACATATATATCATTTGACAAAAGAGTACAAAACATGGTTTATTTTTGGCATTCTTTGTTATTAGAAAGAAAGTACAAATAGAAAACAACAGAGTTAATGGTAATACTGAACCCATGCACACATCTTGGTGCTGGTTAATGTTCACGTGTGCCCTCAGTACGGTAGCGGATCACATTAGTTTATGTTGACCTATATTGGAAAGCAAACATTTTACTATTTTTTCACTTTTCCATTAATCAAAGAGTTGCAGATAATTGGTACATTCTGTAACATGTATTAGTTTGGTCGTAAGTCAAAAAGAGTTTCAGGTCTTATTGAGGGCATCTCTACTTTGGTTGTGACTTATCTGTTGGTTAGTAAGAAACATTAATTCATTATACGATGAGATATTTTTACACACTATCTAAAGGCAGGTCTAAATGTGTCATACTGTAAGTAAAGATGTAAGCAGAGAATCGCTACATAGAGCATTGTACTTAATTAGCAACGTCCTCTATATTCATAAAAATAACTGAACACAGCTTAGATTCGAACAATATTGGGGGAAAAAATCTCCTTTGGAGCCTTGTACTGAGAATTTCTGACTGATATGTTGTAATAGCAAAGCAAGTTGTGAGGTGAATCGTACCATAGTTTCAAAATTAGATCTTTATAACTACAAATGTTTACTAGTGGAAATGTGGAAACAACATGGAAGATACAAAGATGTGTTGTATTGTATTGCTTAGTGTGTTTAGACAACACAAAAGCTGTTTTGCATTTGTTGTTCTTACTACTAGCTATTCACATGAATACTGTAGCTGGGCTCTTGTGTTTCCCCTTTTTACCCAAATATTTGCTATGTCACAATGTTGCAAAAGTGGAACATCATAAATGTATCCCTCTGATAGTTTCAGATCTACTCCTTTAAGGGTTACTTCCTTGGCCCTTGCTACATCCTTCCACCAAGTCTCATGGACTACCGGCCAATACATTTTCTGTAATCCTGCGGTCAAACACACAAGCAGCAAGAAGAGAACAACTTCAACAAGCATAACCTCCTTGGCAGGGGTAATCCCTACAACTTAGTACATTTGAGTTTATGATAACTTGAAAATGAAATGTCCTTTTATTCAGATTTCACTTCAATTTTCAACTGCTAGGATTCTCAGAGGGTCCTTCAAAACTTAATGTGTCTTTGGTCGTCTCCATAGACATCTGTATGTGTGTGTGCGTCCTCCGGTGCCTGCTGAGAGAATGGCTCCACGAAAACCTGCGACCACAGGTGAGGCACAGATAGGGTCTTTCTCCTGTGTGTGTCCGCTGATGTTTCGTCAGTGACTTGTACCGTGTAAAGGTTGCCCCACATTCATTGCAAATATATTTCTCTGACTTAATATGAACATTTTGTTCATGTTCTTTCATGTTGCCCAGCTGCGAGAAGCCTTTACCACACACGGGGCAAAGATGTGGTTTCTCTCCAGAGTGGGTCAAGCCGTGAATATTTAAATCCTGACGAGAATAAAATCCCTTCGCGCAGATAATGCATTTGTATGGTCTTTCTCCTGTGTGGCTCCTCATGTGTCTTTTGAGTCCTTCTGAGCGTGAGAAGCAGCTCTCACACAAGGTGCATCTAAAAGGTTTCTCTCCTGTGTGTGAGCGGAAGTGTCGACGGAGCTCTGAGGCCTTGAAGAAACACATCCCACAGTCTGCACAGCAGTGAGGTTTTTCTGGCTGCTCCTCGTGCGTTTTTTCATGTGCTTTGCAGTGACCAGACTCAGCAAATCCTTTTCCGCAGACCGAGCAGGTGTAAGGCCTCTCACCGGTGTGCATTCGCTTGTGACGGACAAGTTTGTTAAGTTTACTGAACGTCTTCATACAGTAAGAACACTGATGAGGCACCTTTGGTTTCTTTGAGTGTGTGCGCTTGTGTCTCTCTAACTTTGAAGGCCTGTTGAACACTTTCCCACAGTCGGGACAGGGGTGCTTGTTAGTCCGACTGTGGCAACTCTGGTGTCGGATAAGCTTCTCTTCTTGTGTGAAGCTCTTTTCACAATGCTCACACTGATGGAGAGTCTTAGGCTTCCTCGTGTGTACAGGTTTATGCCTCTCTAGCTTTGATGGTCTGTCAAACGCCTTGCTGCAGATGGAGCAAGTGTAAGACTTCTCTGGATGGTTAGAGTCCTCGGGCTCAGAGGCGGAGGAAGATTCATTGGAATCTGAGTCTGTGGTGACCTCCACAACGACTTGTCCCGGACCTGAGGAAAAATGATATCAAAGAATATCAGTATTCTAAGAGTAATTTAATTTAATAGAAATTCCACTGAGTCGCGTTTTATAAACACCTTTGAAAACTTGACTGAATTAAAATTCAGTCCGCTGCAATGAAACACTTTTATAAACTTGACTGATGAGAAAATTAATACAATACAAAGAAGCTTCAATACTAACTTTTCTCTGGAGATTCTGTTTTAGAGACAGACGCCGTGTCTGGACCCATGACTGCAGCCTATTCACATTGAACACAAAAACAGACACAGAGAATTCAAAAATGACATCAGTAAAGTGGAGATATTATTCGAGATTTTGGATATTGAAACTAGCCAATAGCCATTTTTACATAAACACACAAACAATCTAACAAACAATCTTGATAAGGATCTCTCAGATTTGTGCGTTGTTTTATTGTGACATGATGCACAATGAGCATGTTATTAGCAAGCTCTAATGGATTATGAATTGAAATAGTTTAAGTTGCCCACTAGGTTACAGATATGTGCTACTGTGAAATCCAATTGTATGTGTTTAATAGCTATTTGCAATTGTATTTTTCACCTGAGAGATCAAAACTGACAGTTAAACACATTTATGTTCAAGATGCAAGGAGCTGGTGTCATGATATACTGTAGATGTGTATAATGCATGCTGATATGATGAAAGTATGTGAATTATAATGTTTAAGACTATTTCAGCAAGGGACTGTTACACTACAGCATGTTTTGCAAATATGGGTTCAGTTATTTGGGTCAAAGTTTGAGTTTTACCAATAATACATAGCTTTGTTATCAAGAGTATACTCTACCATATGCCTGCTTCTAGCTGACAACCAGACATGTGGAGTGTCTGATAGTAAGGACACCACAGAAAAGCATGAAGCAGAACAATCCAACTTTTCTCTCAGCCAGCCTTATTTTCTGTATTACATATTTGATCTACAGTATGGTGTGTTAATGATGAATGATGACGGCATACTTAACGTTATACACAGCATCTCTTAAGTACGGTTTAACAATACCAAAGGCTCATTGGTATTTTTAAAGGATTCTCGCCCGTTGAGATATATACTATTTATATGATCTAACATGCAGCAGCTTAGATGTTTATAATACTGCACATCAGCAACGTGTAACTTATTTGAGAAGGGAATAGGAGACAATGCTAAACACAATACAAAAGGGTACAAATATAGAAGCTTGGTACAAGAGCTATAATCACAGAATGCACCTTGTGAAAACAACATCTGCAAACAGACAGGGCGACCTCGCTAAAATGTTTCTGAGCTTAGCATGACCCCGTGTCACAACAGAGAAACCCCGACTGCTGTATGGTTAATGGCTAAACCATTTTATTGCTGAAGTGACTTTAAAGATTGAGGTCAGGTGATTGATTTTATGAGACGCGCATGCATACAAAAAGGTAACGTTGGCTAACTTAGCTAGAGCTAACGCTGTTAGCTAGCATAACAAAGGTGTATAAGATGATTCAGGCCATATTAAACTGTGTCCCACCTCTCTTATACTCCTTAAAACCGAAGGTTGTTTTATGTTAAGTCCGTAAAGGTTTAAATGTAACCTACTTCACATCTGAAGATAGCTAGTCACTGCAGCTTGCTAAACCAGCTGTAGCATTGTGGATAACCGTGGCCACCCACCATTCCCTTGCACGGTACCTTCACTTGCATCACGTAAATTCGGAGTTGATTAGTATTTCATTTCTTCATGCGCCACGTAGCGTACCTGCTGTGGTATTATTGTGTTGAGAGGACGGTACGCATCATGTACATTGTATTTCTTTATTGTAAAATAAATAGAATAAAAGCTTTTGAATTTTTTTTTTAATAAAGAACAATGTGTCGAAAAAAATAAGCAAGTTACAGTAGAAACATCCAAATCCCACACTGATTTACAGAGGAATCCAGACGAACTGGTATTTCGTTGTGGGCATCGATTCTATTATCTGCACATAATCTGTTTTCTGTCTGTTATCACAACAAAGAAAGAAATACATAATCACGTTTTCCCAGTTTAGTTTGGCCAACTGTACCGCTTATCACTTTCAACATTTTCATCAGCACTTAAACGCAGCAATTGTCTCAGCAAATAGTAGAGTCAAACAGATAATACAAATGTTTGTTTTCAGTTTTAAACTAATTTAACCCCATTACACAGTAAAAACGATAATGTTCACAACAGGTCATATCTTAATATGTTATAAGACATTGATAAAACAAAAACAGCTGAACTGATCATCACATATTCAAAAGTGCATTTAATTTGCAGATCAACTGCAAAATAAAAAAAATGCAGACCATGTAGGCCTAAACCCAAGTGTAGGGTTTTTCAAAAAAATAGTTAAACTGAGGGAAAACCAGAATTAATTAGTTACTTACTGTATATCATTTATAATGAATCTATGATTCTTTATTGCAAATTGTGTCACATGCTTACTCTATTGGCTGGCATGTCAACCTCCCTATTGTTTTTGGAGAC